GGAATAAAAAGAATCTGTATGAAGAACTGTCTGTCTTGTATTTCTAAAAGAAGGTTACAGGGAGGGGAGGATATAGCTGTTGCCATCTTACATTTTATGTGACCAGAAAACCCAAATTACTTTTGATTGAATTAAGTGAGATAGATTTGCATGTGCTTACTCAACCAGCATACTTCATGTTGGCTTCAAAGGCTAAGGGTTTAGAAGAGCTTTTTCAGCATGTGGAATGCCTTTTCAGAAAATAAGGGAGTGAAAAGAAAGGAGAAATGGGGTGATGGGACTCGAATTCTGTGAGGAAATTCAATTTCCTGTGTGTTTATGTGAAGGGGGGAATTCCTTTCATTGGGATAGAGTTCAAATTTGAAGGAATAGAGACGAGGGGTTTTCCTTGATGTCCTAATTTATTTTAAATGGAGCTTTTTATTTTAACATAGGGACAGGAACCTCAAATATGAGTCTTCCTGATCCATATGTGGTACAGCCCCAAATACTGCCATTTTAGGTAGCAGTCCTATGCTCACCTGCTTTCAAGGAAAGCAGGCCTGGTTTACACACAGGCAGCAGAATGAGGCTGAAAAGATCTGAAGTGGGAGAAGAGACGAAACCACTTCAAGCCAAATGTGAAGCTCATGGCACATTTTCCACAGATGGAAAACCACCACAACCATTTTTACTTCCACAGATACTGTTTTTGTAAGGGTGAGCAAAACCTTCTATCCCTACCTGAAGCTTGGAACTGTACAATCATCTCTAGCTTGCTAAAGATTCTTGCTACTTTATTCTTCAATAGCTATTCATATATTAGGATATCTTCCCTCATGACATAAGGAAGGAGTCTGAAGAGGAGGGATTCTTTGTGCGTAGGCTTCACACAACAAACAACAGTCAAGATTTTCAAGGGTTCCTCCTTCTGTGGAGAATCTCCACATTAGCAAAAAGTTCTCCTCTTCAAGGCCTTCTCTTATTGTATGAAGAAAGTGATAGCAGATAGGGGCATAGTGAGATACTCTCTTCTAAAGCCCAGTTTTGTCGTTAGCAAATCATGTATACTTATCAGGGGGAGAGAAGAGTGTTCACCTGCCTCCCCTCTGTTTCCATGCTGATGGACAGCGACAAGTTTGAAGAGGACAGCTTCTGCTACCCAGGTGTTTTCCCCACACAAGTTGGGATACTGAATAGGTTTGAGGCTAGGACAGGCTTCACATTCAACACATTGGACTGAACCATGCAAGGCTGGTCCTATCATTAGACAGAGTGAACACAGCCCCTCAGCTGGCAGATCCTGGGGTGCACCACCAGTAGTCCCTGGCAATTAAAACTTCCTGAGTTCCCCAATGATTTCCTCTCTTGGTGGGACAGAGTCCCAAAACTAGCCTACTATCCTCAGGTATAATGAAGTAAATGTTCAGGTGCCAGCCCAGTCGGCTTGTGTGCTAGTGCTTGGAAATGGGTGTCATTTTGTCCTTTGCATCAGACAGCCATATGTTTGGGCCAACTTTGGAACTAATTATCTAATTCCATGCTGTTAATTGACAGCGTAGCTATGCTCATTGAGCTTCTCAGATTCTCTCTCTCTCTCTCTCTCTCTCTCTCACACACACACACACACACACACACACCCCACTTGTGCCTTCCATGGATATGAGGTTTCTTCCATTCAAAGACCTTCTTGAATTTATATGCCCACTAGATGACACAAAGTTTTGCATTTAATTTAAGAAACAGGTAGAAAAATCTCCCCCATAACTGTCATCATGCTTATATGATGGTCCCACTTCTCGTTTGCCTTCACGATTCAAGACTGTACCAGAAATTAGAAGCGGCTGTTACACTGTAACAATGGGAAATCTCAGTAGAAAATATAATTCGGCAGATACTGCCAAAATTCCTGTGCCTTCTCCGTTAAGGACACCCCCCCCCTTCGCCCATTGAACAATGCCTCTGAATCTTTTGCCAAAACAGCAATGGAATTAACTGATCTGGGATTTGGTGATCATATTTCAGACACAGCTCAGTTTCAACATGGAATGGGTCACTGAAGAAGTAGGATTTTATGGAGCCGTGTAGAACAGAAACTTCAGAGGTTGTTGAGTCACTGAATAAAATTCATAATCTTCTCAAGATTGCGGAACCACCTAGCATAGTGGTTAAAGTGTTGCACTGATGTTTAGGAGGTCAAGTCCCCGTTCAGCCATGAAAGTTACTGGGGGGATCTCAGCCAGTGCTTCTTTTCAAGTCTAATCTACCTTACAGAGTTGTCATGAAGGGAAGGAAGAGAGCATCAGAGAGAGGAAAGGAGAGGCAGCATGTAAATGTAACTCATAAGATCCATCAGTCAATCCCTGACTTGATGGAACTGAGAAAGAACAAGTGCCCTTGATCCATCAATTGCCCACTTTGTTATTTTAAAGTATTTGTCAAAATGCATCACTGGAGCAATGAAACTGTGCTAGCTGGACCATCAATGTAACTCAGCCCATCTGTTCAAAAACAATCTGAATAGACTGAGCAGAGGAGCTGAATTGCAGCACTCTCTTGTCATTTAAGGGTCTTTAATCATTACAGTTCTGCAAGCCAGAAGAGTTGGCACCCCTGGCTGCCTGCCCTACAATTTGTTGGCATTCAGTAGTGTAGCTTTGGAGAATCTACACCACAGGCATCTTATGACTGTGTGAGACACATCCCTGAAATTTTAGAATGATGTACAGAATCTCAGATGTGATCCATGAGCCCACCATGGAATTCTCTATATTTGCTTTGCATTGTCCAGAATATATATCAGATCAGTGGTTCCCAACCTTGGGTAATCCACTAGATTTGCTTTGCATTGTCCAGAATATGTATCAGATCAGTGGTTCCCAACCTTGGCTAATCCAGGTGTCCTTTGACTGCAACTCCCAGAAAACCTGACCAACACAGGTAGTGGTGAAGGCTTCTGGGACCTGCAGTCCAAGAACACCTGGGGTCACTCAAGGTTGGGAACCGCTGTATTATATAATTCCAATGACACAATATAACAAATGAGATAGATAAAGAGTTAGCAGCATCAGTGACCATATTACAGTATATACATTCTGATTATAATTTATGCCTGAATCTCCATTTGGCAAAATTCATAAAACAAACCTTTACACCTTGTGTTAAGAGTACACCTGTTCTTGCCTCAGATATCTTATCTGCCCTTTCAATGGGCTATGTGACTGCAAAGACTCATGCTACAATAAATCTGTTGGTTTTAAGTTTATGTGGAGTGCTTTTACTGTATTGCTTTACTCTCACATTTTCATTGCTAGCTGGAAGAATTCAGATAGATGGAATCAGCAGAAGCAAGTGAAGGTGGAGTCAGAGTTTACCAAAAAAAAATCAGATGTTGAGGGAGGCCACACTTCATAATATAATTTTTATAATCCACAAATGGAGGGTGGGAGGACATTAGATCAGTGGAAGAGGAGAAGGCACCATGATCAGTCCCTGTAATTTCCAGTAAGAGATGAGGAGAAAGACCTTCTGTTGATAAGACTCTGGAGCATTTCTGCCAATCATAGTGAGTAACACTAGGCTAAATGACCTAAAAAACATTCCTAAATTCAGATTTGTGTTGATATGAAGATGCAGGAGGCTGAACAATAAAATGTTGACTTCACCAATATAGACAACCATGTAGAGAATTTTAGAACAATGAAGGGTCAACTTCTCCTCTTCAACACCCATACCCATGCTTGTCTTGAGAGAGATGTAATGTGTGAACGAGATGAAGGCAGATCAGACTGGCCTTCTTGTCCACCATCTCAGCAGCACTTGCTGATGAAGGCTATTTCTGTGTGCAGCTGGTTCATACATTACTTTGCCCCAGTGTACAGTTCCTACGCCTATTTGTCTGCAAAGGAGCAAATCCTAAGTGAGTCATCCATTCTGGTCATTGTAAATGGAGAGAGGATGTTGAGCCTGATCAGATATGACAAGGGGTCCGGAAATCTGATGCATCCGAATCCCTTAATAGCTGAGGCTGCTTCCATGAATGTAACCTCCACCGACACCACCTGGCCCCTTCAGACTCCTCCTTGACTCCAGAGCATGACCATTTTCACCCAGTGACCCTACTCTAAACTCCTCAGAACAGAGCCCTTGCACCTGTCTTCTCTTATCCTGGATTATTTTCTTTTTTCGTCCCTCTGCTTTTCTTTTCTTTTCCCATCCCTCCCTCCCCTCATCCCTCCAATCTGGTCCTCCATCTTTCCCAAAGCACCCTCTCAGGTTAGTCTTTCTCTGCCTGTGTCCCTTCTCTCCATCTGCTCCATTCTCCTCTTTCCCCACCTTTCTCCTCCTTTCCCCCCTTCTAACCACCTTTCACTCCTTTTGCCTCCTTCCTCCCCGCTCTTTTCGCTCTCACACACTCTCCCGGATTTAGTCTCACATTACTCACTGCTCCCTCTCTCCTGCCCCTCCATTCTCATTCTGTCTATCATCTCTCTCTCCTCATAGAGCCTTCTCTTTCCCTCCATCCAGTGCTTCGGTTTCCTTGGACCACCTCTGACTATTTCTCCCCACCCTGATTTTCCACTCCACTTTTGCTCCTGCATCCTCTGATTTCCAACACCCCCCCTTCTTGTGTTGGCTTCCTACCCACCTTTAATTTCCCCCCTCTCTCCAGGGGACTCCATAACCCATCTTTCCGCACAAATTGCTATGCCCTGCTTGTTTGCATTCCATCCGGCATCCACCCATTAAGCCCTTTCCTTCCCTTTCACTCTTCCTCATTCCCTCTTCAGTAACCACTCCACCTCTTTAACCATCCATCCGTATCTCAGTCCTTACTCCCTCATCTGTTCTCCCCCTTTCTCTAGCATCTGTCCTCTTTGGCTGCCTCTCTCATTTACTTTATCCTCCCCATGGCTCTCCTTAATTTCTTCCAGTACTTGCCATCTCCTTCTCCCTCCTTCCCTACCTGCCCCCCCCCAATCCACCACGAAAAACTCTGCCTTCCTTCGCGTGGGACTCACCTGCTGGTACCCCCAATCCTCTGGGGCAAACTCGCTCCCCACTGGCTCAAACTGGAAGTTGCTGTGCGGTGCCTGGTGCAGAAGGAAGGTCCACCAGGAAGCTCGGTATCCCTGGGGAGACCCCATCACTCCTACCCCAGGAGGGGGGGGCGCCCCAGCACCCCAGCACCGCTCACCGCGCTGGACGCCGGCCACCCATGCTGGCAGAGGGAGGGCTGTCGGGGAATGTATGTAGAGAGGCAGTGAAGAACATCAGGGCTTATCCGCACGGGATATGGGGAGGGGGGAGTGAGTGTGGGAAAATAGGGGGGGTTAGGTGGGGACGGACTCGAGGATGGCACAGCGTCATCTAGCGACTGCTTCTTATATTACTTTGTTTTCCACTAACCCTTGCCTAGCCTAATGGTTCTATCGAGAGAGAGAGAGAGAAGCTCATAGCACCCTCAAGTGGATTTTTAAAATCTATACAGGAAATAAAGGCGTCACACTGTAAATTATATTTAAAGGAAAGGGGCAGTTTGCTTCTGTAAAACAACTTCTAAAAATCCTCCTTTTTTAAAAATCCAGGCTGTTGCATTGTACATATGAATCTACACCTGCAAAACACAAGCCCACAAGCAGGTTATAGCTTTGTTAGGAATACAGTGCCTCAAATTCCACAGTACTGTCCCCACTTTCAAGTTCTTCGGACATCTTCACCTGGTTAGGTGGGCCAAAAAAAGAAAATGAGAGAAAGAACAAGGGAAGCCTGGGAATTATGCTGTTTTCATGTCTCTGAGTTCAATTCCAAGATAGAAATGTCAGACTCAATGAGTCACCGCAGGATGGGTGCAAGTTCCAGATCGCAATAATCAAACTTCCAACCTCTGGCTCTGCAGCTGGATCCCAATAACAAGGATGGGGAAGATATTCAATAGCTCCCACTTTTGCAACTTTAGTTGGTCTTAATAAGGTTAATGCAGCTGGATCCCACATAACAAGGATGGGGAAGATATTCAGTAGCTTCCACTTTTGTAACTTTAGTTGGTCTTAATAAGGTTAATGCCTGTGTTGGATTTCATCTTGGTTTCATGCTCATATAGACCTACAGGACTATAACTGTTTCTACACCTGCACATCTTTTAACCAATTCTTGATGAATATTTTTGGGCAAATTGTTGCTGTGCTTCTTTCAGGAAACATCACATTTCCCCCCAATCTTGGATAGACTGTGTTTTAGCAAATACAATTCTTTCCCCAGTTTGGAAATTCAGTCCTCTTCTGAATGCTGTCTAGAAAGGGCCAGCATAAGCATCATAAGTACCTATTGACTATCATCTGTAATTTCATTAGTATGGATAAAACTTTCCATTAGGCTCACACATGCTGAAAACTTTTTCTTTCTTTCTTTCTTTCTTTCTTTTCTTTCTTTCTTTCTTTCTTTCTTTCTTTCTTTCTTTCTTTCTTTCTTTCTTTCAATAGCTCCACAGCTGTACACAGCTTTGACGTGCCTCCAGTATGTGATTTGCCACATTCTGCCCCACAATGCCTCTCTTTCAACAACACTACATCCTGATACAAAAAAAAAATGCTGGCAGCATTATGGGAATGTCAGGTGGCTGGGAGCTGGAGCAGAGCATATTAAAAATCAAGGAGAAAAAAAATCTGTTGCTGCTTGTCTTCCTTTGAGCCAATTTCCCCCAATCTTGTGACATCCAGATACTGTATATAGGCTGAAATCCAGTAGTAAGCTGACTCTAGAGTAGGCCTGTTGAATCAGTGGGGATTTGGTAACTCCACACCTATGTACTTTCCACTGATTCATTTGTTCTCCTCTAGCTGGCGATGGATTACAGCCATTAGATTACAAATATCATTATCCCTCACCATTGGCCAAACAAACTATAGAATGGTTGTTGTGGGGTTTTCGGGTTCTTCGGCCGTGTTCTGAAGGTTGTTCTTCCTAATGTTTCACCAGTCTCTGTGGCCGGCATCTTCAGAGGACAACACTCTGTGCTCTGGATTATAGAATCTCTCCTTCCAATTTTATGAATGTTCTTGCATCACTTCTCACATGAAAACTTGATTTTAATTTTGTTTGCTTCTTGTTCCTTATCTTCTTCTCACCCACCCAGAAAGTAAGACAAAAACTTTGATTTGGTGATAGAAAAAACAAACTTCTTCAGTCCCTCTTTTTGGAGGGAAATGAGAGCTAAAGCTACCCCTCATGGCTGTGGATCAAAAAAACACACACTTCAACTCTGCCTCTGCTAATTCTTTTTGTAGTCAGAAGTAAATTCATGTTGGTATCAAGGGGAATCAAGGAGAAGCACTTCATAAAATGTGGTTGTTGTTGTTGTTGTTGTTGTCGGAAGCACTTCATAAAATGTGGTTGTTGTTTTTGTAGTTGTCTTTGGTGGGGGGAAATATCTCTGTTCCTGTAGGCCTCCAGGGCAGTAGCTTTTGTTTTGGGGCCTTGGGGAAAATCCCTTAGAGCCCCCATACCTCCACATAAAAAAATAAATTGGAAATGCTTATGTAGGGTCTTTCTGTTTACATTTTTTTTTCATAAAATAGCCAAAAGATCTAATGTAGCCCAAGGCAGGGTCTAGGGTTAAAACTTCAGCCTCCAAGACCCTTTAACTTTCCCTGCCCTATACTGAAAGTACATAATTGCAGTCAGTATTTCTGAAACCAGATGGAAAAATAAAAAAACAGCAACAACCAGTGGCATATAGTAAATCTCTGGATATAAAATCAGCAAATGGGAAAGAGAAGGGAGGATTGTGGAAGGTGTTTCCCTATATGCTAAAAATGGAGCATAGAATCCAATACACTTAAAACCTTAAGAGGAACAAAATCCTCCAAAGAATCAGTAGTTCTGGAAAATACCAGCTCAACTCCAGTAATTTAATAACAAAGCCATACTCTTCCATGATGCAAAAAAATTGTGACCATCCAATGAAGCTTATCAGGGTGAGGTTCAAGGTAACAAAAGTATTTCCTCATTAACTGTACAGCTGACTGAAGGAATGTACTGCCACAGTATGTTGTGATGACCGGTAGCTTAAATGGATTTAAAGGAAATGAGACAGTGTTCTCCATTCAATACAGCCACTTGACATGCTGGCTGGGCAATTCTGGAAGTTATCATCTGAAAAACAATTTTAAAAATATTTATATGTCTCCTCTCTCCCCATAGGGGACCCAAGGTGGCTCACAACAGATAAAATAAGAAATGTAAAACATTATTGTAGTGTTCTCTATTTAGTTGATCTATAGTTCTTGTTTTATAATGTAATGATTTTTGAATATTCATGTTGCTGAAAGGCAGAACCTAGACAGATACTATAAGAGGCGGAGCCTGAGTCAATATTTCAGTCAGTTTGTGGAGATTAAGTCAGAGTGTGAGATTAAGTGAGTTCAAGTCAGTGTGTGGAGATTAAGATAGAGTCAGAAAGAGAAATGTAAGAGTCAGTCTGGAGAGAAAAGCCTGACAGAGTAATAGAATGTGTAGTTAGGGGAACTTCTGAGGTATGATTAAATATTGAAGATATTCACGAATTAATCTATGTATTCAATAAATCAAAGTTTTATTTAAAAGAACTTGAAGTGTGGACCTGAGTCTTTCTGAAGTAAATGGTGATTTAGAGATCACCTGGTGGTAGCAAGTGAAAAGGGAGAGAGTGTCTGCCTTCGCATGCTCTGGGGGCTTGAAGGTCAAGCAAAAGGGGCATGAGGGTGGACTCCTGTCCCCCCATAGGGGATCCAAGGTGGCTCACAACAGACAAAATAAGAAATTTAAAACATTATATATATTATTTCATTCTTTGGCCTAATTAAGAATAACACAGGTACACATCTGTCCAAGTGGAAACTTATGGAAGTCCATAACAAAATCATTTAATTTCAGGAGATTTTTTTTTTTTTAAAGTGATTTATTTTACACATTCTTCAGAGGCCCAGTTTTCCAGTATCAAAGGGTGAGGCCATAAATTCTAAGGAAACTGAAGAATTGAGGAGGGAATACTATAAGCATCAGCCATGGATATCTCCGCTGTTCCATAGACCCAATGGCTGAGAAGCTCATATTTCCACCACCTTCGCCAACTGAAGAGGTTATGGTACCGTCGTTTGTGGATTCTAATTACTCCAGTCCACAAAGCATAGAGAAGACTTAGTTTTCTCAGCACCATTGTAGCCCAATGGTTTCTAAAACACACAAGATCCCTTTATTCCTCAGAGGGTTCTTCTTGAAGAAGCAGACCTTGGCACTTGAGGGTGCAATCAGATGATGAGAAAGGTCCACATCTGATAGCACAGGAAAGGCTGGATTTGCTGGGAGAAATCTCCATTAAAATGACTCTTCTATCCATTGCACAAGGTACGTAGTGGTGCTGCGGGTTAAACCGCAGAAGCCTGTTCTGCAGGGTCAGAAGACCAGCAGTCGTAAGATCGAATCCACGCAATGGAGTGAGCTCCCGTCGCTTGTCTCAGCTCCTGCCAACCTAGCGGTTCGAAAGCATGCAAATGCAAGTAGATCAATAGGGACCACTTCGGTGGGAAGGTAACAGCGTTCTGTGTCTAAGTCACACTGGCCATGTGACCACGGAAGATTGTCTTCGGACAAACGCTGGCTCTGTGGCTTGGAAACGGGGATGAGCATCGCCCCCTAGAGTCGAACACGACTGGAAAAAAAATGTCAAGGGGAACCTTTACCTTTACCTTTTATCCACTGCAGAAATGCTCCCGATCAGATTCAAAGAGAAGTATCCCTGCCACTGGATGAAAAAGGTCCAGTTCATGCATGAATCAAGGTTGGGCTGGAGCACTATTGTCTGTACATTGTGTGATGACCAGGAAATAGCTTGTACCAGACTGTGCCAGCAGTGGTCCAAAATACGAGCTATATGCCAGTATGTATGATCATACCCTGAGCTGCAATTCTGTGTAAACCTTCTTTGTGGCTGAAGCAACCTGAGCCTGTTTGTGAGTGAAGTCTCTAAATGGTGCTATCCAGGGTCCTGAACTAGAACTCTTATACAGTATTCAACATCTTGCTAGGGCTCAAACTTCCAGCAGGCTGGGATCACTATGCAAAATCAAAAGCACTGTATACCTGAATGTACAAAACATTTCAATGAAGTCCCTCACCAAATGTTCTTAAACTTGGCAATCATGGGTTACACGAATCAAGCCCTCTTGTAAATTTGCAACTCGTTCAGGATTATGATGCAGAAAGCAGTAATAAGAAGAGCATATATTTGTTAATTAATTTTAATACTTTCATACCACTTTTCATTTCAAAAGTCC